CCAGAATATGTATCACTTGCCATCTATCTACAGGTACATTAGAATGTCCTCACCCACATTGAATGATATGATTATTCTTGGCGCCATCTTGGCATACACGGCCGTTATATTGTATGGTTTGGATGGTAACGCCGTGCCCAACTATAATGACATATTTTGTTCTGTAAGTATACATTACACAACATTTGTAATCAATTCACAAACCTATATCGCCATGACTTCTATTCCGAAATGTGGTCAAAATTAACACAGATTCACTATTTTATGTGATAATTATACATTTGGTCAACAATCGCACTATTCTTCAACGTGTTGTGAAATTTGCCGTAAAAACGATGTATGATTCTTCGTTAACATTTGGATAAGCGACCCCACCCACCCATGTTATGGGTAATTATCATGTGATATTCGAAACATGAAACCGTGGATCTCTTGTAAGATTTGCTAATTTAAATAAGATTTTACTGAGATATGTAAATATAGTATTATTTGTTCTTGTCTTATAGTTCGATAGTTGGATACTCATTGTGGCTTTCACAGTTTCGTTCGGCGCCATGTTTGCAAAGACATGGAGAGTGTATAAAATATTCACAAATAAAATACATAAACGACAGGTAAGTCCAAATTAGTCTCACCGCAACCGGTGACGATTGTCTCTCGGTTTTGGCAATAGTTGTTGGACATTACAATGACATCCCGTAAGTGTTTGCAATTCATTGACTGTGTAACACAATTTAATTACGTCAAATGGACAACAAAATACTACATGAATGCGCATGCGCAATGAATTACTTGTACGTACTGCTGTTCTCGAACTGTCCGATAACTCACAATACGGACAGTCTGAAATTACTCACACGTAATGCTTCAGTGTCATAGCTGTCGTTATTTCTGTCTACCCCGACGAATACCGACAACTCCAAGTTGATTGCAGATGGCACGCATTTACACTGTTAGGCCGATGTTGTTTATTACACCAACATCGAGTGGAGAAGATGATAAAATGATTGTAAAGTAATCAGGAAACATTTCGTTACAGGCTCTCCACGACACGCACCTCATCGGATTTGTCGGTATATTACTTGTAATAGACATATTACTATTGACGGCGTGGCAGGTCGTTGACCCCTGGACGATGGTGGTTAAAAATCTTACGACAGAGGTTTGTTCAAGTATGGTTCAATTGGCTTGAGTGGAAGGGGGCATTTTTCCGCCACAGTCACGGTCACGGTTGATGACCAGTATATCGCAGATCGACTTGTGAAAATTGTTAAAAGTATTAGAAGCAATTATTTTTTGAGACTAAAATGCTTATTAATAATTATATTATAATGATTTTGCATTCTATTCAACTGTAGATCATTGAAGATGTCGCAATCGTTCCACGGGTCGAAATATGTGAATGCGAATACAAGTTTTATTGGTTAGGCGCCCTCTATGCCGAAAAAGGATTGCTGCTTTTGTTTGGGTGTTTCCTGGCATACGAAACAAGGAACGTGTGTGTTGACGGACTCAATGACTCCAAGTAAATAATCTAACATGAATGCAATTATGAAGAAATCATTACAAAATTTGAAATTTGTGTTTTTTCGTTGAATAAACATCCAAGAACGATTTTTTTAATATAACCGACACGTTTACAAAAATATCTAGTCAAATGATAGTCAAATCAGGTGAGCAGCCAACCACGTGACTATTTAAACGTGCCATACGTGTCCAAGCATGACAGACCACAACCTGAAGTTCGTCGATGTATACATAAACAGCGGTATACGCGAGTCGAGTATCGCTGATATGGCAAAACGAGAAACAATTCCGATGATAGAAGATACAGTATATTGTGCGGAATTCAGAGAATATTCGAACTGAGATTGCACCAAGTTCATAACCTAATTATAATATGTTTTCTGTTTTGTAGACAGATATGTGTTTCAGTGTATAATATTGTAGTGCTGTGTGTTCTCGGTATAACAGTAAACCTGGCAGTGAGTGATAATCCAACGTTAACGTATGGTTTTACGGCAGCCATTATAGTTCTCTGTACAACATTTACATTATGTCTGATATTCGTGCCCAAGGTGAGATATCGTGTACAGGATATAGTTTCAATATTTTCAATACTAGCAATACGTTTTTAATACGAAAAAGCCAAGAACAGACACTCTAAATCAATGTAACGAGAACCTGTAAATTATAAGACGATCGATGGGTGGTTATTTTGAACAACATGGGCGTGACAATAAACGCTACAGTTTGAATTCTCATGCCTGCCGTGTGGCAATAAATGTGACAGTTTATTTATTTTCAGATTAAGATGATTATCTCTGATCCGAGCGGCGATGAAACGAAACGACGGCGTTTGCGTGAAGGTCTAAGTGTTAAAAAAAGTATGAACGACGCGAGGAGCTCGGACACTGCATCCAGAGACACTGGTGTCGAGAGTATCTCGGAACTATCGGCAAAATTGTCAGCTATACAGTGGAAATTGTCACTCGTAAGATTTTGTAACTAGTAGTACGTTAGAGATGTCTCATTCCGTGAGACGACGCAACATTGTTTCCAACGACGGTACCTTGTTTATATATTTAACATAAATTTGGACATTATTGGTAGCATGGTCTCTTTTAAGCAATCATGGGTCTTTTTTGTATTTGCCCACCATGACGTCATGGTAGTCCGCGACCTGGATTATGTCAATGATGACTAAGTGAGTCACGTTGGGTTGGGTTGCCACGAGATCAACACTGCGTTCGTAGTTACGCGTATGTGCAGGGGCTTGCAACCTGAAAGTGAAAGTCAAAGTATAATCGAAAAAAAATGGTTTGCAGCTAATTCCAATTTCATAATTTAAGGCAGTTCGAGCCGAATTTAAATAACGCAATACTAACCACGTTACTGTAAATATGTGCAATGCATTGTGGGAGAGAATTTGTCATCGCAAACTAAATGTCAATTTTTTAAAATGTTTTAACAATATTGAAAGTCACAATGATAATAATATATGATTTTTTCATCTCATATCACCATGCAAAATTTCGAGAAAATTATTTCATCACAGAAACCAGAGACATTTATGACAATTTTGGACTTTTGTTTCTCGGAATTTTGTTTCTTGAATTTCTGTCGACCCTATTTGTTTTCTATTTCGATATTATAATAATATTAATAATAATAGTGATAATGATGATCATGCATCTTACTTTTTGCAGTTGTAAAATTAATTCGGTTAAATTTAATTCGTTTTATTCGTTATTCTTATTTACCTCTATCTAAATATTTCAATATTTCATGATTTTAACAGAAGGATAAAGAGATTCTAAAGCTCCGGGGAGAAATAAAAGTACATCAACAGAAAAGAGAAGCACAACATTCCCTCGACTTAGATGCGATATCCGACGTGAGCAGTGACAAGTGCGCCGCCACCGATAGTAGAGAGTTACATTCGGAGGAATTATACGTTCACATCGGTGGTTTAGGTGGCAACGAGGCGGAGACGAACACGGATACAAGAGATGCTGCTGTACAAGTCGAAGATGCATTAACAACTACGACTGCCGTTCAAGTTGACAGGGATCCAAACGATGGCACATCGACTTCAACCCAGCTACGGAATATTATCGAAAACAAAAAGATTCCACAGCGATGCAAACTGGTATTTATAAACCTTGGGTTTTCAAACGACGCAGAACCAGACGGAGTGTTCTACGTGTGAATGGACCTCAATTGTGTATATTATAACGTAATGTTGACGTCCTGTGTCAAATTCATCTGCTTGTGCCATTCTAATATTTTTGTTTGTTTGTTTTCTGTCATGCTATGTACTATTTTCCGGTAACGTTTCACGGGTTTTATTTTCGGGAAGGAGCTGCCACACAAAACGTTCTGTGTTGCTTAGACGCGCATAATTATACCATTTAATTATATTGGCACTTTGAGAATCAAAGTAAACATGTACTGCGTATGTGACTTCGAACGATCGACGAGCCAGTGAAAACAAATAAACAAACTCTTCTTTGAAGCAACCCCGAACTTACACATGTTGCACACGTAGGGGTAGTCTTGTTACACTATTCAGGCGAGCTTCAGTAACTAGCCTAAAGTACAGTTTTCTGTGAGTTTTTGGTCTTTGTTTTGACCGGTGATGGTTTCCAGGCGGTGAATATGCCCGGATGTTCGCTCCCGAGAATAAGGAGATAGATACCGCAAGTGCAATATTTAACACTTTCAGCAAACAAGAACATAAGTATGTTTTAACTCACCATTTATTTACGCGTGTTCGAATAAAGAAATCACAAACTGTAATATTTGTAGTATTTATAATAAGTAACTTCCCATATCTCTTTTTATCATAGGGTTTTATGTCGCTGTTATTTATCAAATGACATCATCGTTCTACGCGGTACTGAGCGATAGATTGAAACAAGCACATGCAAATTTTAAAATATCCTCGGAGATAGCATTACCCTAGGTGTTAACCATATATATGACTTGTATTCGACTGTCGTATCTCACAAACCAATGAGTACCAGACGTAAATTTGGTTGTATTTTCACATCGGGTATGCTAAATACATGGTTATGTCCGTCGATCGTGAGCGGCGTGAAAAATCCTTCTCCATTTCAAATGGTCAACCTAAAGGTTTCAAGAGAGAATGTTTCTCACCGTTTACGACAAAAAAATCCACGTATTTGTCGGTGCATGCGTTTCTCGTATGAATTTAACTTAAACTTGTCGACAAAAAAATTACATATATAATTATTCTCATTTTTATTTTGCTGCAACTAATATCAACATCATATTCAGAGAAACAAAAACTCACTCACAAATATTATATACACAAACACGGACGGTATTAATTCAATATTACTGAAGTTAAAGACTTGGAAGTAAAATACTCAAAGAATGAAAAAGTACAACGATTTTGCAGCATCCTGTGGGTGTGGTCTAAACCAACGATTCCTTGATTTAAAAATGTTAAAAATCTCACAAATTTCACACGAAAAATATAGAAAGCAAGTTTAGTATAGTACTACAAAGATGGACAGAGCGTCAAAAACAAGTTTAAATAAATAAACTAGCAACAAATACTAAATTAATTAGGTGAGCTATAAATACAATGTGTGCATCAAACCACACGGGTGGCGCTTTTTAAATAACTCTAACGCATGGTGGCGCTTTAGGATTCAAGGTCTTGCAATTTACTAGTTTAATCACGGTTACGTGGTTTAATCGAGAACACAGTTTCCAAGGCTGTCTTTGTTGCCAGCTGTTCGTTCTCCCGTACTTGTTGTAAAACATTTTAATCGTGAATTTAATTAGTTGGATTGAAATATAATGTGGACGAGGCGTTTCCACACTGTTGTATTTCAGTATTACGTGAAATTTCGGCCCCGGACGCCCTTAGTCTTACTCAATACAGTACGGAGTTGGCCAGTAAATACAAATCATTTCCACGCTTTCCGCCGAATGCAATATTCGACACGAAGGTCGGAGTCAATATTTTCCCAATAAGGTCCCCATTTGGATTGAATACCTGCACCCCGTCACCGGCCCTGACGTACACATATCCACACTGGTCAAACTTGATCCCGTCAGGTATGCCCGGATTATCACCTTCGTGGACTTGGTTTCCGACGACGGCGAATAGTTCTTTGTTACGGAGATGCCGTCCGTTTACTACATGATAGCGATAGATATGATGTGGTAAATTGGGATGCCAGCTGCCAGGTAATTGAATAGCCCCTGATTCTGTAATATACAGATAATGTTCATCGGGTGAGAAGGCAAGTCCGTTGGGTTTATTGAAACCATCGGCGACAACAGTAAGATTCGGACCTTTTGCATCGGGATCGAGACGATAAACAAAGTCACCCAACTCTGGTTTCGATCGGAAGTCCTGCATGAAACCGTATGATGGTCAGTGAACCAAATGGTTCCATCACTTTTAACGACGATGTCGTTAGGACTGTTTAAATGTAATCCGTAGTGCGAATCAACCAATATTTCCACTTTACCCGTTGACAGGTCTGTCCGCGTTATACGACCCGGGGACAGATTTTTGTATCCCTGTTCGCATGTGAGTAAGCGGTTTTTCGTATCCCGTACCTGTCCATTTGGCATATGAGCGACGGACGATTCTCTGAATGTACTTAATTCCCCACTGCGTATGTCATACTTCTTTATCGAATTTTGCGGGTCTGATTTCGGGTCTTTGTATTTCTTTTGCTGGCTGTGTTGTATATAAAAGAAACCCATCATTGTCATCGGGAAAATACGCCGGTCCTTCGTGAAATTCATATGGCTCGTCGCTCTTGGCTAACAACTCAAATGTTGGGTCTTCTGGTAAAATATTCTTAAACTCGTCAGAATAAATGGCGAAGTGAAGTTCTCCATAGCACGGAAGCTGTGGTATGAATAAAACAGCAATGACAAAGAGGATCCTCATGTTATCCTTGTCAGTGTGCCAGTGCATGAACAGACAGTCTAGCCACGAATAGTACACAATCTGTGACAGGGTTTAACGTATGTAGCTGCGAAGACAAAGCATCGTTGGTAGTTATACGCATGCGTCTGTACAAGGCTTTGGTCAAGGATACAATTGAACTTGATCTATAGTCACAAGGAGGACATTTCAACAACAACATCTCAGAGTTGACGGTAAAATGTTCAAGGCTGAACTTGTACGTGACCATAATTTCACCGTATTACTGCATAGAATAACATCTTTACACTGAGTGATATTTTGACTCTCTTCGAGTGAACAATACACTCAACTGTAACATTCAACTATAACAGCCTGAGTATTTTTACAAAAATACAAGCTGGCACGATCTACAAATAATCATCTCATATGGCGTTATGTGTACACATACATTCTCCGTTTTTGTTTTTTACAAAATGATTACTATTACTTCAAAATGAACAATACAAACTGTTGTTATAAATAGAACACGTATTATTTAGAGCGATACTTTTCCCGGCATTCAGTGTTATTCAACAACATCAACCGCGTTGTACGGTGTCACATGATCTGTGGTATACCCACTAGTATATACACAGTTTAAATCAAATAAAAGTGTAATAAAACAGATCAACATTGCTATAATATTAATGTGCAGTTCGATATTGTCAGACCGGCACAATACGCGAAACTAACAAGCAGACGCAAATACTGTTCTGAAACAGACATGCGCACTAACGACTAACACTGTAAAAGGGAATCTGCCCTTGACTGCTCGCGTAAACAGGAATGAACACTATTGTATGCAAATAATAGAAATATTATGTGACACCCGGAATTGTCTGAAATGTGAAGGTCGTATGAGTACAGCACAATCATAACAGAAACAAATACCTTGCTACTGACAATAGTTTAAACATATTATTCGTTGTTCGGTATTTACTGGTGTTTCTATTCAAACATAATTATTTATATTCTGAGATAAAAATCAGGTAAAATAGATTAGCTGTCTAGTACAGAATAACATGTTCGTATTATTACTAAACTAAATACATAAATATATATAAATGAGCTGTCATCGTCGTTGCACTTTTTTCTTATATTATTCAATATTTCTGGAAATGAACTCCAATTTTGGAGCCAAAAGACACAATTTTAGTCAATTTTCAGTTTGGCTATTTTTGTCCCAATCTTCTGAAGGGAATTTTAGACTATAGACTTGTGGTAAAAAGAGGGAATTGGTGATGAAAAGATTAAACCCGCGTGAATTCTCACTTTCAGGTCTGTGTGTCATATAACCTGATGGTTTAAAAGAAATAATTTCATTATTGGTCATTTATGCTTTCACCAATTCAGGTTTTATAACTATTCCGTTATTAACAAGGGCACGTTGTTCCATGCCTGGTGTCGAGATGGTGGCTTGATTATGGATTATTTTGTTTTATACTACGTGGCGACGAGGGCGGAACACTGTTTAAACGCTTTTTTAAATAAACGATAAACACTTGAATCTAACGCTATTTATTGTTTATTTTATCGTTGGAATTAGTGTGCTAAATCCAACAATTCGTTCATTTAGATTGCGTTTGGGACCGGAAGTGGAATCTTTGTGGAGAATCACCAGGTTTCGCTTTTTATAGTAATTACACGTGGTCGATTCTCCGTAAATAATAATGTATTGCGAAATATCGAAACCGCCATGTTGTCGGCGAACACTTTATTTCAAAATACAACATGCCGCTGATGTAATTTTAGTAAATAAAAA